ATTCCTGAGCAAGCATGGCTTGCTCAGGAATTCTGGGAGTTGAAGTCCATAATTCATAAAAGGGCCATAGTTGCCCACCCCTGGATTAATCCATAGAACACCTATTCAAGTCTCATGAATCGATGTATTTCCAAAGGTAACTTATAACTTATGTATCACTTCTTGAATTCCTCAAACCTTACAAAGTCGAATAGGTCAGGAAAAGGGAATGTTTGTAGTTCAGGGTTGAAATGAAAGGGTCCTTGGTGCTCTCTGAGCTTTTCTTGCAGACGTTTCATGACTCAACTAGGTAACATCATCAGTGCTAGTAGGGAGTGGGGTTTGTGGAGAGGAGGAGGAGGAGGAGGAGGACTGTGAAGTCCTTGGTGCTTTGTGAGCTTGGTTGCTTTTTTTGCAGACGTTTTATTACCCAACGAGGTAACATCATCAGTGCTAGTAGGAAGTGGGGTTTGTGGAGAGGAAGAGGACTATGGGGTTCCTGGTTCTCTCTGAGCTTGAGACCAGGAGGAAGAAGAAGAAGAGGAGGAGGAGGAGGACTGCAGAGTCCTTAGTGCTCTCTAAGTTGAGTTGTCTTCCTGCAGACATTTCATGACCCAACTAGGTAACGTCATCAGTGTTAGAAAGGAGTGGGTTCACACTTGGTTAATGAAACATCTGCAAGAAAACACCTTTGCTCAGAGAGCCCCAAGCACCCCAAATTTCCATTATACGTGTACCACAGTATTAGGAACACCTTTGATATATTTTTATTACTGTTATCTATTTACTGTATGCCATGTGCTAAATAAATAAATTAACTCCTCTGCAGAACTGAGTTTGCAATTTGAGATCCGTTCTGGCCACTGAAGGGCCGAGCTGGGAATCTTCGAGCATGTGCAGAGGGTTTTCTAGAAGCCCCCAGCTCCAGGGTTTCAAGTGAACTTCATCTCTTTGTTCCCAGTTTGTCGTTCATCTGCTGGTTGATGAACAAAAAAAGTCCTTGGTCAAAAATTCAGCACCGTACTTTATTTTAATCTATTATATATATATAAAAGTGAAATGCATCATCACAAAATCTCCAGAACCGTAAAGCCTACAAACTTGAAAACTGGCATGTAGGTTCCTCTTGGCTTCTAGGTGCTCATTAAGAAAGGATTTTTTGAAATGACCATCAGAGCATTAGTATTTCCAGTATTATTATTATTAACATGCTCTGATGCTAAGGAGTTCTACTCCCTCTCCCCACCTGAAAAGAAATCTCTTCCAAATGCAAAACACAAGCAGAGGAGAGGAGTTTCAGTTTCACTTTTAGTTTCACAGCACCAAGCAGCTTTACTACAGAAAGTTGAGCTAAGCCACGCCCAGGCTCCTTGCTGTCTTCTTGCTCACATTGCAAATACTCCTTCAGCTTGCAAACAGCCCTCAACTCTCACGCACACTGACAGGATGCTAGCCAGATGAATCTTGGTGGATGTAGAGGTAGAATCCCGCCCCCCCTTATTTTCCTTCCCCAAAACTAAGTCCGATCACAATGTTTCGTAGCAAAGCACGGGGATCGAGCTACTTTTAAATTGATCCGTAACTCAGCTGTTTCATTGACGCTTCAAACGGCGTAGTAGCTTTGTCCCTTGTCCTGTTTCCAACATCCTACTTTATTTTTTTTTGCTCCCAGTTCAGATGCACCAACCGCTGGTCAACGTCCGTGTCCATCATCCGCCGGAAGCCTCTGTGAAGGTCCACCGGATTGATAGCCTCAGCTCGGAGGGGAGTGGGCCAGGGGGAGGCCACCATCTAATCCAGCACCCGGCTCCAAAACCGGCCTACACTCGTCCTCCAACCCAGAAACCCCTGGGGCGCTGTTTCCAAGAGACGCTGCCCAAGCAGTCGGTGAGTGGAACGGGATTTTAGCCAGCTGTTCAACCGGTAGAAAATCAAGCCTCCATGCTCAAAAGCAGTGTATCTGATCCAGTCAGCCTCAAGGCCAAATAGCAAAAGAGGAATCCTTTAGCACAGTGTTTTTTTCAAGCTTGGCAACTTTAAGATGGCTGGGCTTCAACTCCACCCCTTTTAAAGCATGTTGGCTGGGGGATTCTGGGAGTTGAAGTCTCTCGTCTTAAAGCATGTTGGCTGGGGGATTCTGGGAGTTGAAGCCCACCCATCTTAAAACATACTGACTGGGGGATTCTGGGAGTTGGAGT